CTACGATTCCCTCGTCTTCGCCACCGGGTTCCGATGCCGTCCCTGCCCGCACACCCCGGGCACGACGCGAAAGGCGTCTCGTCTACCGAACAATTGATGATCTGATCAACCTCATTGAATTTGCCGAGCATAGGAAAGGGACCGTCGGCGCGTTGTCGGCGGCGGCCTGCTTGGTCTGGAGGCTGCCAATGCCATGATGGATCTCAAGTGCTACGACAAGGTTAAGCTCATCGAGAGGAACCGATGGGTACTCAGCCGTCAGCTCGATGCCGATGCTGGTACCATGGTTGTTGAACAGGTCCGCGATCTCGGGCTCGACGTTCTCCTCAGCAAGCGCGTTGGTAAGGTCGAGGTGGATGCCGACAACTATGTGACGGGCGTTCTGTTTGAGGACGGTGAGCAGATGGCCTGCTCGACAATTTGCTTTGCCATTGGCATTCGACCAAGAGATGCTCTCGCCCGCAAGGCCGGCCTCAAGTGCGCCGATCGCGGCGGTGGTATCATCGTCGGCGATGATCTGAGCACCAGCGAGCCCGACATTTACGCCATTGGCGAGTGTGCCAGCTGGCAGACCCAGACCTTTGGTCTCATCGCTCCTGGTGTTGAGATGGCCGATGTCTTGTCTTTCAATCTGACACAGGCTTACCTGCACTCGCCTCGCGTCTTCAAGACTCCGGATCTGAGCACGAAGCTCAAGCTGCTTGGAGTGGAAGTCGCCAGCTTTGGTGACTTCTTTGCTGATCGCGACGGGCCCAAGAAGCTGCCGCCTCGTGCGAAGCGTGCCAATAAGGAGAACGCGCAAACGGCTCTCGAGACGCTCACCAACGGCCTGCCGCCAGCACCGGTCAAGGCCCTTACCTACCGCGACCCCTTCTCCAACGTGTACAAGAAATATCTGTTCACGGAAGATGGCAGGTACCTCCTGGGTGGCATGATGATTGGCGACACACGCGATTACATCAAGCTTGTACCCATGGTTAAGAACATGAAGGTTCTCGACATCCCACCGAGCGAGCTGATTCTTGGCGCGAAAAAAGATGGGGAGGACGATGGTGACGATCTATCCCACGACACCCAAATTTGCTCGTGTCACAACGTGACCAAGGGCGACGTCGTCGACGCCGTCAAGGACGGCTCATGCACGAGCATCGGTGACATCAAGGCGTGCACCAAGGCCGGCACGGGCTGTGGCGGCTGCATGCCCCTCGTGACGACTATCTTCAACAAGACAATGGCGTCAATGGGCAACGAAGTCAAGAACCACCTGTGTTCTCACTTCAAATACTCACGTGCCGAGCTCTACCACATCATCATGGTCAAGAAGCTGCGTACGCTCGCCGAGGTCATGCGCGAAGTCGGAACCGAGCCCGACTCGCTTGGCTGCGAGGCCTGCAAGCCCACAATTGGCGGCATCTTCTCCTCGCTCTGGAATCGCCACGTCATGGACAAGCCTCAGCACGGTCTTCAAGAGACCAACGACCGTTTTCTTGGAAACATTCAGCGCAACGGCACTTACTCGGTTGTGCCTCGTATGTCCGGTGGTGAAGTTACTCCCGCGAAGCTCATTGTCATCGGCCAGGTCGCTGCCAAGTACAAGCTTTACACCAAGATCACTGGTGGCCAGCGCGTTGACATGTTTGGTGCCCGTCGACAGGACCTGCCTGCCATCTGGCGGGAGCTCATCGCTGGAGGCATGGAGTCGGGCCACGCGTACGCGAAATCGCTGCGTACTGTCAAGTCCTGTGTCGGAAGCACGTGGTGCCGTTACGGTATCGGCGATTCGGTTGGCCTCGCTGTCCGTCTCGAGGAGCGCTACAAGTCCATCCGGGCGCCGCACAAGATCAAGGGCGGCGTCAGCGGTTGCGTGCGTGAGTGCGCTGAAGCGCAGAGCAAGGACTTTGGCCTCATCGCGACGGACAAGGGCTTCAACATCTACGTTGCCGGCAACGGTGGTGTTACGCCGAGGCACGCAGAGCTACTGGCCAAGGACGTACCGCCCACCGAAGTCATCCCTATCCTTGATCGCTACCTCATGTTCTACATCCGCACTGGAGACAAGCTTCAGCGGACGGCGAGCTGGATTCAAGCGCTGCCGGGTGGCCTGAAGTATCTCCAGGAGGTCGTGCTCGAAGACAAGCTCGGCATCTGTGCGTCCCTGGAGGCACAGATGCAGGAACTCGTTGACAGCTTCTTTGACGAATGGGCTGAGGCACTTGCGACGCCTTCGATAATCAACAAATTCAAGCAGTTCGCCAATACGGACGAGTCGGTTGAGAATGTGGAGATCGAGGCGGAGCGTGACCAGGAGAGGCCCGTGTACTGGGCGCCAGAGGCGGCCAAGGAGGACTTCAAGGCGCTTAAGTCACGGTGGACATCGAAAGAGTGGGAGCCCCTTCTTGCTGCCTCCTACTTTGCCGGCGCCGACGATGCGCCGAACGGCATCTCGGCGACGATCAAGCGCGGTGACACGCAGCTCGCCGTGTGGCGTGTTCGCGGAAAGTACTATGCTACGCAGCAAATGTGCCCGCACAAGCGTGCCTTTGTGCTGTCCGAGGGCCTCATCGGCGAGGCTACAGGCGAAAACACGTGCTCGGACGCGCCCAAGGCGGAACTCCGGGTGCAGCACCAACGGCGACGCCAAGAAGTCGGCGCCGTGGGTGTCGTGCCCCTACCACAAGCGCAACTTTGACCTCGCCAACGGCGACTGCAAGAACGATGGCGAGCTGAGCATCGCGACATTCGAGGCCGAGGAGCGCGCCGACGGCATGGTGCACGTGCTGCTGCCGCCGGTGGCTGAGCTCGACGCCGAACTCGGCACGGCCAAGTGGAAGGTCAAGAAGGGAGAGTCTGGCCAGGCGCCGTTCGCGGGCCTCGACAAGGCCGTTGGTTTCAAGGGCATTCGCGGAAAGAAGCCCGGCGTCAAGCCATTCGCGCCGCTCAAGATGAACAGGCCAGTGGAGGTCCTTGCCGGAGGCGGATGCGGAAGCGCACCGGATTGGTAGAGGGTTTCAGCGGGGAAAGTATGGGACGTTATTCATGTACGGGCAGGGCCGGGCATAAAAGGCGTTAGAAGGGATAATTATGAGTAGATTTGGGACACAAATAACGATACACAATCTGTCTGCCTGCCTTTTCTTTCCCTCAGTGTCTTGGTACAGATGACGACGATGAAGTATGTGCAAGTCTACTCGGCCGTCTTGTCCTTGCCGAAGATGCGCGGCCCAAAGGTCGCCCAGAACCCCCCCTCGGCGATGGCGGCCACCGCGACACCCAGCACAACAAAGGTTTTCGTTCGCGGCGAGGCTTTGCGCCACATTTCCTTCGGGTTCCACAGGTCGGAGCCCGGGTTCGGCGGCGCGGATCCGCGGCGGGGAGCAGAGATGGAGAGGCTCCTGGGGTAAAGAGTCCTGGCCGCTGATGGGCGGAGGATGGCTGATGGGGCCACGGGTGTCATGGTGGAGCGATACATTGGCGGACGTGTTTCGGTTGGTGGCGAAGCTCTTGGATGAGAATCTCTCGTTTTGAGGCTTGGATCAGAGGATGACGATGACCACTGTAGGGCGAGATTCTGATCATCTTATATACCCAAGCTTCTCCAGGTTGGTCCCTTGACGCTACCTGAACGTTCAGGTACGAGGGTCAGCCTTACGCAAGGCAACCAAGGTACCTTACCCAGGTAGTCAGTGCACAGCAAACAACCGTTATGCTGACGTCGTAAGTCCGGGGCGGCGGTGGTGGGGTTTTACGACCCGTGCGCTGCCTGGCCCGATTGGAGACGTGTTATGCCTGGGCGTAAGGCATGCATCCATCCCCGTGACACCGCCGCTTCTGGTCTTCCTGCTTCACCCGAGAGGTGGTCCGGTTTGGTGCTCATGTGGTCACAATGAGGCCGGCCGTCCACATTGGGGGTCCGTAACACTGGGCATTACATCATTCATGAAATTTATCGAGAACCTATCGACAGGGTAGTTTGTTTTCTTTCGTACGCCTTGCTAACGCCGATTCATGGTCAGTGGCTTGAACGGTTTCCTCAACCGGTCTATCGGCGCAATACCGCCCTCCTTCTTCAGTAACGCCGGCCTCTCGAACCGTCCCACCCCTTGCCCCATTGATGTCGTCGCATGCAGACAGCTTGCTGGCCGCTCCCGCGCCTCAGGCGCCACGACTGGCTCTGCTTCAGCGTCGTCATCGCCCGGCTGAGGCACTGCTGACTTGGCCGGCGAGCTCGAGAGGAAGCCGTAGTGCGCCTGCGCCTCGCCTGCTGGCGGACGTGATTTGGCCGTCGGCTTCGCGATGGTCGGCGTCGTGAGCCTGTGTCCGGGTAGAGCCGGTGCGGCCGGATGCGGAGGCGCCTGCTGGCCGCGGGGATAGGGCGCGACCGCCGAGTGTGATGTTGAGACGTGCCGGGTCAGGCCCGAGCGAACGTCGGCGACGGGCGTAGGCTCAGAGGCAGTGCCTGATGGGTCGGACTTTTGTCTCTTGTTGACGAAGCCCAGGAGGCTGCGCTGGTCGGGGGGACGTTTCGTCGTTCCAGCGCGTCGCGTGTTGGCGTGTCCTGGTCCGGCCTGCTTTCGCTGCGGCCCGGCGGCCTCGGCGGCTTGGGCGACTTCCTTGGCCGCGGCAATGGCGGTCTGGTGCGCGCCAGCGGTCGTGAAACCGGGCAGTGTGAAGCCCGAGGCGGCTTCCATGGTGGTTGCCGTCTGCCATTGGGGATAGGCCTCGGCGGGAGTGTCGCCGTTGGCCTGCGGGCCTCGGTGGCGCTTGAAACCGCTCTTATCAGCCCTGCCCGCTGGGTTGCTCTCTTCTGGGTCGGCAGGGTAAAGCGTGTCCTCCAGTCTCTCGAGCAGCGGCATCTGTGCAAAAATACGTTCCGCCGAAGGTACGGAGTCTGCGCGGCCTAGGATGCGGCCCACCTCCTGGATCACCTCGGTGCTGAACGAGGGCCCTCTCCTGGCGAACGACTGGTGGATTTCAGTGGGCAGAAACGTAGAAAGCTCGGCCTTCTCTCCTCCGCCACCCATACCCCCGGCCTGGGAGCTGTAGAGTGGACAGCTGAGGTAAAGGAGCGACTGCGCTCTCGTCATGGCGACGTAAAGGAGCCTTCGTTCCTCGTCCAAGTCTTCTGCCCTGGCGTGCGGTATTGAGCCGTTGTACACGGCTGGCACGAAGACTACGGGCCACTCGAGGCCCTTGGCAGCGTGGATTGTTGAAATGGTCACCATTGGCTTATTCTCCGTCTCACCCTTCTGGGAATCAGAAGCTAGCGCGACGTTGGCTAGAAACCTGCCAAGCGCATCCTTCTCCTCCACCTGCTGGACGCCGTCGATGGTGGGCAACTTGTCGTCTTCCACAGTCGCGCTGAGCTCGCGCATGAAATCGCCCGCTAGGTTTATAAACTCCTCGACGTTGGCCCATCGCGCCTCATGTTCCTCGGGATACATGTCCTGGAGGTACTTCTGGAAATTCAGCTGCGAGAGCAGATCGCCAATGAGGTCGACCAGATGGTAGCAGGGACTTCCACTCGGGGGTTCCTCGACCTTCTTCCTCACCGACATGACCATTCTGATGAGCTCCCCGCTGATCTTTTGCTCCATCGCCTTCTTGATGTTTGTTTGCGCCTTTCGGTCCCCGCGGCAGTGCTTCGTCAGAAGAGTCCAGACGTCCATCTTGGCAGTTTCAGCCTCTTCGACGAGACTCTTTATGGTCACGTCGCCGATACCGCGACGAGGGACATTGATGATGCGCGCAAGCGAGTCGTTGTTCTCGGGCTGGTGAATGACACGTAGATAATCAATGAGAATCTTGACCTCGATGCGTTCGTAAAACTTTTTCCCGCCCACCATCCTGTAAGGTATGCCGCACTTGCCGAGCGCTGACTCAATGTGTCGGGAGAGTGCTGCAGACCGCAGCAGGATGGCCACATCGTCTTCGTTCATCATTTTCCCCGACATGAGAATGGCACGTCGGATCTCGGAGACGAGCCACTCTGCCTCGTTGGCGGCCGTCTTCAGTCGGCGCAACACCGGCCGCGTGCCCTTGTTGTGGACGGGAAGCAGGAGTTTTTGGTACCGCTTCTTGTCTTGCTGAATGACCTTTAACGACACGTCCAGGATGGCCTGTGACGACCGATAATTCTCCTCCAGTGAGATTTCGTCCGTCTGGGGAAAGTCCTTCAACAGACGATACAGATTCTTGATCTCGGCCGATCGCCAGCCGTAAATGCTCTGGTCCGGGTCACCAACGATAGTGATGCGATCGCGGGCCTGGGCAAATAGCCTCATAAGCTCGTACTGGATGCCGTTTGTGTCCTGGTACTCGTCAATGAGCACCGCCTGCACGTTGGACACGCATGAGGGGTGCTTTCGCAGCAGCTCCACACACTTGGTCAGCAGGTCGTCGTAGTCGAGGAGGTTGGAGCGCTCCAGATGGTCCTGGTACGCGCGGAAGCAGGTCTCGAACTCGGGGTTCTCGCGCGGCTTCTTGGCGTTGGGCCGCTGTGGGATGTGCTGCTCCGAGCCCTTGGCCTTCTTCTTGCTGATCCAGGAACGGACGGCATGGGGATCCACCACCAGACCCAGCCGCTTGCATATCCTCTGGATGACGGCTCTCGAATCTCCGTCATCAGCGATGCCAAACCTCTGACTGAGGCCGATGCGTTGGCCATAGGTAGCAAGATAGCGGCGGGCAATGCTGTGAAAGGTGCCGAGGACAATCTTCTTCTCACGGCCGTCGCCCAATGCCCGTCCGATGCGCTCTTTCATTTCTCGAGCCGACTTGACGGTGAAAGTCGCGACGACTATGTCTGCCGGGTGGTAGCCGGCATTCTCCAGGAGCCAAACGACACGAGAGGTCAAGGTATGCGTCTTGCCGCTACCTGGTCCAGCCAGGATGGCGACGGTGGGTGCTGAGGAGGTGACGGCGCGACATTGTGCCTTGTTGAGACTGGCGAGAAGGGACTCAGCCGCACTAGGCGCTGCGCTGGACAAGCTCATGGTGAACAGGCGGGTCCATCGGGATCTCAAAAGATGGGCATTCGGGTTTGGTGCAGTGGTGAGACGCGTCGTGATGGGTCGGAATCGCGTGAAGTGGAAATCGCAGCACGAAGTCACATGACCGGTGGAGAGAGAGAGAGAGAGAGAGAGATGGAGCTTTGGCCAGGTGGATCAACCGGGGCCTGTGTGACCACCCACAGCATGAGACCAAGTGGGTCCTTACCGCTCTTAGTGACGCCTGAGACGAGTTTAAGTATTTTGTACACCATCAAAGAACGAGCTTGAACGGTCGCTTGAGATACGGACCCAAATATCGCAGAGAATTGACAGGGCCAGTATTTCTCGTGTTAGCTGTGTCGCGAGACTAGACTCTCGTGGCTTTTGAGGAAGTCAGCGTCTTCTTCCGAGTGTTCAAGACCGCAGACTTGACGAAGACTCTAGAACCCAGTGGGCCCAATTCGTTTTGTAAGTTTGACCGCAAGTTTCTGAAGTCGAGCTCAATGTCGATAGATGTAGGGAGACTCCATTGGAGCGCAGCAGCAAAGGAAAGTCAGCAGAACGCCCAGGAAACGGCCCAGCACGCTGTGCGCACTCATTTTCTGATATCGCCTGTCCTGCTCCCTAAAGAGGGCAGCAGCTTGTCCGCTCACCAGAGCAACTATGACGATGTAAGGACTTTGTTCGGACATGATACGTCTTTGCATTCCACCACCGATCGCCAGGAGACGATGCAGCATGGCAGATGAGGGGTGAGAGGAAGGATAAGTCGCCAGGGTCCGAACAAGCAGTCAAGTGGGAGTGGATCTGGTGGACGAATCTACTTTGCAAGGGGTCAAGCCCACTGGGCCGGCACGATCCGACCTGCCCTGTTGGAACTCATCCTTCAGCTGAGGCTGATCAAAAACCGACTCGATACTGTCATGACCAGAAGGGCAATCAATCATCCCTAGTATCAAGGCTCAGAACCCACGCCTTTACAGCATGCTGAACCCCCACAAGCTCCCCCAACTTGGGCGGCGCCCCTGGGACATCAAAACGGGGTTCGTCCCAAGCTGCTCCGGCTGGCGCAGTAGGTCTTTACTACTAGGCGCCAATACCGCACAGTCTGCCACGGATGGAAAGCCCCAGCGAACGCTCTACAGGGATGCGAAAAGTCTGGCCCATGCCTTTGTGGGTTGCAGCCAGGAGGGACCACAAAATAGGAGTGCTAGCGCCAACATCCATTTGCAAATTCATGTCTGATGTGATCGGATTCGACCAAATCTGATCTTTTTGGGAATACTTGAGGACCCTCACGGAAGCGAGCTTGGCCCTTCCGATTGGAAGTTCATGGCTCCCCATAATTGATAGCGGACTGCCTACATGGCACACCACTCATGATGCATATTAGCGTGTTGGGTTGACGTTGCCCGGTCACCATGGCACTGTAAACTCGTTAGTGCCAGTGAATGCAATGCCACGCCCTCACTTAGCCACGGCGAACTAAGCCAGCACTGAACATGAAGATCCGTTGAGGTTCAAAGTGAAGGGCATCAACGACACAGTCAGAATTGTGGCATATGCTGAGATTTCTGACGGTGCTACCTATGCTCTGGTGAATCAGGTGCAGCTAGCTACCTGCGCGTTTGGCCAAGTGACTGAACACGGTCAACAGACCAGACCGCGTCTGAAGCTTGAGCGGGTTTTCACGACGTATCAGGCACGGTTTTGTCTCCAACTGAAAAGGTGGAGACGTCCAGATGCGTGAACATTAGCGTCATTGTAGGGAACAGGGCCATCGCATATAATCCAGTCGGGGTTACCCCACGGCTTTATGTGGATGTTGTTGTTGGTGCAGCGAGGATGTGGATGGTCTCTGCTTATTTCCAATCAAAATTACAAAAGCAATATGTCTTCCAAGAGCGTGATGCTTTCTGGATGGATCAAGAGCAGCCCTTTGAAGGGCAATACGAGATCGAAACCAAAAATCATTGGCCAACACTCTACTTTTTGGAGCAGAAAATTGTAGAGGAAAATACTGTCGGGGGAAAATAGTCACATGGGCTTCATACTGGCAGCATCTGCGAGTTACGGACATCGGAGGAGCCTCGTCTTGTCAGGCTCAAACAAAGACAGGGGTCCGACCATCGCTTAAGCACAGCCGTCATGGTAGTACCAACCGCAAAAACGAATTCTGCACGCTGGCGTCACTTGTAGTTTCTGTTGGCTCTGTTGCTTCCGCCCCCGCAACGATGCAATGCAAGCAGCGTGTTGAAACGGCCAACACAGCTGCTGTTGCCTGATTCTCCCCTGCTTCAGGTCCGTTGCCCATGGAGACACCGCCGCTTTCACGCCTTGCGCGCATGTCAATAGTTGACCCTGGGATGAGGCTTTTCAACTCGAAAAAGGGTCAGTGACCGTTGGACAAGCCATTCGACGAGGCAAGTCCGCTCATTTTAAGAGTCATCTGGCAAGTTTGAACCACCAACTTTCAGATATAAAGCACGCATCTGCCACTCTTCCGTAGCTTTTATTTCATTCACATCATCCTCGCCGTCTTCTCCAGTTCATCTGTGCTCCTAGCCTCACCCTCCAAAGATTTCACCTGAGTCAGAATGCGTTTCGCTCCGATCCTCTTCAACTTTGTTGCCGGCGTCTCTGCCATTGACATTTGGCTCAACTGGGATGCCACCGACTGTCGCGGAAAGAACAGTGTCCACTGTGCAAACGTAAGTCCCAACGTGTGTTGTTCGGTCCCAAACCCAGGGAGCCCTTTCGCCAGCATCGACTTCAGGGAGATCCCGACCGGTTGGAACATTCGAGCCACCGGCCATCAGGGCAGCCAGTGTGGCAACATCATCTCGTCACAGGCCACCTTCGGCCAAGACACATCTGTCTGCATGTCCTTCGGCGGGTACGGCGGTGGCGGCTATCACTTCATCAACGACCGAAGACGCTCCGTTCGTGCCCGAGAGGATTGTGCCGATGTTGTGAGGCCCTCCATCGTCTCCTTCGGCGGGGTCAAATTCAACCTTACAAGCTTAGACGAAGCTTCTTATCTCGAAATGGTACGCAAGACATTGGCCCATCATCCGTTTCGGGCATCATTTGCTAATATCAGTGCAGTGAGTACAATTTGGATTTCAGGAAGATCTGGCAATGATTCTATCCTTCTCTTTGGACATTCTGTCATATCTGCGCCACTGAATCCCGCGCCTCGGCCATGTTTACTAATAGCTGCGTTTAGTGTCGACATCGCGGCAGCTGACAGGGACCTTGAGGATGTCCCTGAGAAGTTCCACGTGTACAAGATGGAGTAAAAGGCCTTGTTTGATCACTAGGTGCATTGAGCGGCACTTGGTTTTGGGTGGGACGACATTAATGTGATTCTTTTTCTTCTCCGGTTTTGGGCCGCCACAAGCTTGCCCTGTATTGGTATTTGATCCCGTCAATGTTTGTCTGTCGTTCAGCCTGTATTTCACGTAGACCTTCATGTCTGAGCGAATATTACGATTGTATGATCAATGGAAGGTTCGGTTTGAGGCTGTAACAGCGGTCACCTCTCGTGTGTCTATCAAGTTGGTCCTTGCCCACAGCTCATGGAGCTTCTGTGAACCAACGAGGTCATCCTGTTTATTTGACAGAAGGCTTGGAGAACGTCCATAAGACCCCAATACCGCCAGGTGGGCGTCCATGGTAGTGAATTAGTACAATGCGGATGTTAGAACGAGTCTCCTTGATACTGGGAGGTACTGAGAGCCTGACGATCGCAAGACCCTGCTACCAAGCCACTGTTCAAGATTTTCCAGGTTTCTTGCACTGCAACACCAAGAGGTACTGATAGTACGCTACAGCGAGAAGGGGCCATAACGGTCACTGCTCGCCTAGAAAACCCCAGTGTCGTGTCCCCGTGTGCTGTCATTGTGATATGGGTATGCAAACTGCTTCCCCGCTTTGCGAGGCACATGGGTTACCGAAATGGAGAGGAGAGCGGCGCCGAAGCCTCACATCGCGGCATTGCCGATGCTGCAAAATCGGAAGCGCAGGCACGGGCTATCATGCGACCCTGAGTAGAGCTTTTTAAACATGTGTCTTCGTCGATATGAGTCCCATCGTGAGCATCAAGGCTCTGTGTGTGGCTGGATCATGCTGGCTGAGCCACTGCAGGAGCTCAGTTGACAGGCCGAGCTTAAAGCAGCGAGGCTCTTCCCCTCCTGTCCCAGCCAAGCGACTCCTCGCTGGTGCACCTGCAGACAGTGTATTGTCAATGCAAGCCATCATCACATTATCGATTCCATCGACCAAAATAGCAACATGCCAGCTCGGCAGAGATGGTGTCTCCAGGGTTCATATTTGACGGGCAAGCTGCGTGCCAAGTCCCGAGCCTGTGCATGAGTGGCATGATGACGATCAAGATGGTGCCCGCCGTCTTTCTACATGGACGTCTTTCTTACAGCTGGGCCTGGATGCGCGTACGCCTGGCACATCACGACCTCATCAGCACCGTCCGGAAGAATTGCTGAACGCTAGAATACCCAAGAAGCGACAAGGAATGGATCACTCGGTCCCGAACCGTGCCGCGCCGCAAGCCTCATCCCGCTGCCATGTTCTCTTCCCACCCTCTTGTCCCGTGAGGGTGGGTTGTCAAGACCCTCATCGTTGGGAGTTGGGGGGTCTCTGTCGGAGGTCGTTCCTGGCCCCTTATAGGTTCAGAACCGTATCTCTGGATCGTTGGTCACATCGCTTCACATCACGTTTTGGTTGAGGCTCCCGCCCCAAGCGCGGACGGCAAGCCATCGACGCAGAGAAGACCAGACCGCGCGCAAGAACACCAACATCACAAGTCTTCTGCAGCGTGCTCATCACCACCTGTCAGCATCCAAATTCTCATCACTCTCAATCACGTTGTGATAGGCGAGACCACATGTCTCTTGTGATCACAGCTCGCGAGTCGTGTCGGCACCTTAGCACCGACAGAACACACGCCTCTCGGCATTTCATTCGAGGGGCGACGAGAAGAAGCGGTGATGTGACGGCGCGACGGGCATATCTAGTGGATTATCATCACACTTCCATCCACCATTCGAAGGGCTCTGATCATCGCTCTCTGGTTTTCTGTTGGCCCCACCACCGGTCGCGACGTGACATGCCGCAACGAACAGGAACCGAGAGGGGGGAGGGAAACAAGAGAGACATGCCGTCCCAGCGCTGAGGTCATGGGTCGACTAGTAGAGGAGAAAGTTGCAGCTTGCCGGGCCCGCAGCAGGCGCAGCAGGCGCAGCAGGCGCAGAACGGCTCTGTGGAATCCATTCGGAACCAGATACTCGTTCCACGGGTCCCAAATGATCAAGACAAGTCGTCTCGCTCTCCGCTTCGACGCAGCCATACATCATGTCGAGCGAGGCAAGAAACAGAAGTCTTCATCTCCAAGGGCGGCTTGCCGTGCGAATGGAGCAGCGAGCGGCCGGGGGGCTGGACTCGAGCGACTGCTTGGCAACGCGGTGTGCCATCGGATATGCGCCTCTAGCTCGTCCGGCGCGGGGTTGGTGGTGGGTGGTTGTCGCCAATCATGACCCCGGCTGTACATGGTCGGCGCTTACAGCCCCTGGCCATCACGACGGTCCGGCCAACCACGTTCGAAATGCGGTCTTCAACCTCCCGCCCCCCCTCGTCAGTCGGCGCGCGACAGGTTGATGGAGGGCCACAAACGGCCTCAGAGGGCACCCAAGGGTCGACCAAGTCACGGCGCCGTGCCTTCGTGGGCGCTATTTTCCTCCTCTACTCTCATGCAAGGTGTGACCACTGGCGTCGTGAGCATGGCTAGTGCCTGGGGCCATCCTGTGCCACCTCGAGCCATCCCGGGCCCTTCCAGCAAGTCAGAACGCAGCTTGCATCGCACAGCGCCAATCTCGACGCAGTGCCGAACTTCATCAACCGCTATATACCTTTGTGCGCCGCGTATCCGACCCTCTTTCATGTTACTCTCCCATGTGTAATGTGTTTCGGATCGCCCGCCAGGAGGTAGGATCATCACAGCTGGTTCAGCTGGTTCACCCTTTAAGACTTCCGGACGTCCCTCACCACGATGTCCGGAGTCCAATCTCGCCAGCAACCTCTCCGCCTCTCTTTTCTTGTCACATCGTCGCTCATTCTTGCCACAACGTCCATCTTGATCACACCCGTCGCCGCCTCACCAATCTCGCCTCTCGCCGCCGTCGGCCAGCAACGACGAGACAACAATCCTCTCAACATTGAGTGGGGTCCCGCGCCAGCTCCCGAAGACGGCCCTCCTCTCTCCGCAGGTGCGCTGAGAGACACGAAATACCTGCCGATCCAGATTGGTGCCATTGTCGGTGCCTACGGAGTCTCACTGGTGCTGGTCGCCATCCTCATCCTCATTCTTTCCAAAAAGCGTCGCGAACACCTCAAAGCCGCCGACGAAGAAGAAGAAGACGAAGAGGACCTAGAAGCTGTCTTTTTTGAAGACGACAGGAAGCAGTTGCCGAATCTCATCATCCCAACGCGGCCCGAATCGCCACGCAGCATCCCACGGAGTCCCGTTCGCAACTTCTCGTACCCGTCGCCAGACAGAAGCGAATTCTTCCCCAGTCCGGTGACACCCTACATCTCCCCTTCGCCCTCCTCCACGCTCCACGCCCCCGGTGTGATTTCGCAGTCGACCAGCGTGTGGTCGCAGCCGACAGACACATGGCTGCAAAACGCAGCCTCGATGACATGTACGAGTACGTGATGGAACAGGAAGAGGCC